TTTGGCTTTTTTTCGCCGTGATATTCGGGATTTGAGCTGAAAACAGGGGCGGGAAGCGGGAATTACAATTACGAGCGGGAGTGGGATTTCGTGTTTTTTATGGGGTTAGGATGCGGGATTCGCAGGGGGAATAGAGCGGGATACGGGATTTAAATTATTACATAACCTTGTAAATTGACCAGCGCAAAAACCGCAAGCTGGTAGAAACGAACCTTTTGTGCATATAGCTGTGTCAGGTTTCTAATGAATAGCAACGGCTCTCTATCCTATCAGGTTCTGTCAAACGTATCCATTATCGCTTGATTATGTTAGTATCATGAGACTGTATGAGGTCTTTGAGTCCTATTTCGATCATTTGTGTTGGCCTCTGATATCAATGACATCTGTCCATTGGCTCCTCGCGGCTTTGGCGCTCGTCATCGTGGCTTCGCCGCTTTCTTAGCGCGCTCAAATTGCTTAAAAACCGCCAAGCTGCGCAGGCTATCCATTTCCGACATTTTCGACGCTTGCGCCTGTAATCTTGACCACCCCTCTGCCACCGATCCTTTCTAGTTTTTCTTAGTCTTTCGACCTTTTCCAGCGCGCTTGACCGGGCGCTTGGCTTGTTTTGGCCAGGATGGCCACACCGGATGGCGATGATAACGATTTACCGAACGAATTATGCGACATTATAAATTATGTCGCCATATTCACACCTTATTCACCATTAATTCTATGGGATGTAAAAGAACCCACACACTGATCGAAAAGAGTAGGGGGTGTAGTTCCCGGTGTGGTGGTCTATCTCTCATCTGATGGTTAAATGCACGGAGATATTAGCTGCATGAGTTACTCTGAAATCCGAGGGTAAATAAAGTAATGTATGCATGTATATTTACGAAAAGGATGTGCGAGCATTTTTGTTACCTTTATTTTATGCTTGTCATTAATATATAGATTGGCAAAATAAAAACGTTCTTACTCTTAATCAGTCTGAGGAATGTTTTTAATACGACCACACATGCAATGCAATTTAATGTCAAGCACTCTCTGTGTTTGACATTAAATTTGCATTTACATTTACAGTTTTGCAAGTATCGCCACCGTTGCGCAATTGCAAATATCTCTCATCTTTTACAAGTGACTATTGTGGAGGCACGAGGGACTCACGGTTAGTGCGCTCGACTTGCATCGAGCGGTCCGGGCTCGAGACCTGGCTGGGCTACTTGATGTTGTGTTCTTGGGCAAGACACGTTAGTTTCACAGTACTCTCTCTACCCAGGTGTAGAAATGGGAACCAGCGAATTTAATGCTGGGGTTAATCCTACGATGGACTAGCTCATCCCATCCAGGGGGGAGTAAAAATATTCCTAGTCGCTTCACGCTACAGAAACCGGGATAACCTCCGGCCTGATGGGCCAATTGACTCTTATGCAGGCCTTTTCTTACCCAAGAGAGTATTGTTACAAAGGATGCGTGGGCCTTGCCATCAATTCGGCCACTTAGGTAGCAAGGGTTGCTTACCATTTAACCAAAACGTCCGGAAATTTAGGGTCAGAATGTAAATGGTAACACAATTCTGTCTCGACCGACCGGAAAACTTTCAAAATAAACAGAACGTCTCGAAAGGTAGTCCAAAATTTCCAACCGAAATATCTGAGTGGAAAATGTGATTACCATTTGCAATTTTTAACCGCCATCTTGTAATTATAAATTGGGGGCTTTTTGAGTAAATGGTAAATGGCCAATTTGAACGGAACTTTATCATCAGGCATTTTTGCTTACCACCTGCACAAACCGTTCATGAACTGGTTTCTCCGTGTAAATAATAAACAACAAAGGTAACGTTAATTGTTAAATACTTACGTTATTGAGGTGGGAAGTGGTTGGGAGGAGGAGAGGCAACATCCCTTCCCCACCACTGAAGTAGCTGATCACTTACTCGTGATTTGGTATCTTGACTATATTTATTTTACGCCGGAACGGTGAACAAAACGTTGGACATTAGCAAACTTATGTCGATTTCCCCATAGAATACTGAGGACGCCATGAAAAACATTCAAGGCCAAGAACGTGACTATGCAAGCGGAAATGACGAAGGATGTAAGCCTAAATGGCGCCCAGACAGCTGCTGGTCGTGGTTAGTATGTGCTGCCTCAACGCTGTCAGTCCTTATTGTGACGGGGATCAGTTACAGCTTTGGGTTGATGCTACCTCCTTTGATGGACAACTTTGATGGGACAAGGCAATCGACAGGTAAAACAGTTATCTGTCATAAGCCTACTCAGACCGGGCGTTTTTGGACCAGCTACAACCTGCGGGAAGGGGGTGGGGAATTTCCCCAGCCCCTTAACTTCAATAATGTTTAAGTGATTTAAGTGATGACGATGATGAGGTAACGATACGTTCATAACGAGTAGCTGGAATACCACATGCATTGTTCACAGGCGACATCACCTTACAATACTCCCACTGCGTTGTACTTGCATTCTGTTCTCTTACTTTGCTGATTCGACGCGATTTTAGCAAGTTATCCGTTCGTAGGCTTTACTCTTACTCGCTAAAATCTCCTTGCACAAGCGACTGATGAATTAACCAATTAATTTAGCTCGTCACGTGGTTATCATCAAACGTCACTTATAAACTTACTTATGTTTCACGTTTCAGCTTGGATCGGTTCTTTGAACTTGGCTTCTGGTTTCCTTTTGAGTCCTTTGGGTTCTTATATGACCGATCGTTTCAGCCACAGGTTCACCGCCATTCTGGGCTCGCTATCAGGGATAGTCGGTTTCCTACTCGCAACACTGTCTTCCAAACTGTGGATGATGTACCTGACGTATGGACTGTTGTCTGGCTTCGGATATCGAATGATCTACAACTCTTCTTCGTTAGTAGTTGTGGATTACTTCGTCAAATGGCGGTCATTGGCCGTGGGAATAGTGACCTCATCGACCGCCGTTGGGATGTTTGTAATGAGTCAAGTCACCGGAGTCCTGTTAAATGCATTTGGATGGCAAGCAACTCTGAGAGGATTTGCCGCTTTGTACTTTGTATGTGGTTTGTGTTCAACAGTGTTTGTACCACTGGACAAGTTTAAAGAGGATACAGTCTACAACAAATCATCAAAGGAGAGTATTCAACCGAAGAAAACAGGAAACTTCTCTCTGTATAGGAATCGTTCCTTCTTGGTCCTGTTGTCTTCCTTAGTTGTCGTCTATTTTAGTAACTTCATTCCATCCATTCACATAGTAAGTACTTAACCGTAATTATTGAATATTTTGTCTTGGCTGGGCTATTTTTTTTTCTTTTTTCTTTTTTTCAGGGTGGTGACATTCATGATAATTGATTGGTGGCAATTCATGAGTTCTGAGATTTTAACTTCCACTGATGTTTTGTTTACTTCCGTTTTTAACGTTATCTAAAGTTTAAGTGAAACAAACATACAAACCAAAAACAAACAAACAAACAAAGATTTACTGTAAAGGCTTAGAATTTGATCCTAGATCAGCTGTAATTGGCGTAATTTCAATTTGGCCGTAACTCTGCTTTATTCCTTGTTTCACCTCCTGCATGGCTATCTCTTTCCAATAAATCCATGCGGAGAGGCTGGGGAACACGCAAGATAAACTAAGTGGGTAGAAACAGATAGCATAAAACACTGACGTGGTGAAAGATTAAACATCTGGAAATGGGACATGTGCAATAGATAAAGCTGATTTGTGCCATTCCCAACCGAAGACACAGACAGAAATCTGTTTCAAGTTTACACTTTTCTTGTCCTTTAGATCAAACATTGCAAACAAGAACTTCATATTCCAGCAGAGAAAGCTTCCATGCTGTTCACGTACTTGGGGATATCATCGTTCTTTAGTCGCCATTTATTCTGCAAGCTGGGTGACCTAAAATACTTCAACAGATTTTACCTTTACCAAGGCGGTATGACCATCATCGGTCTGTGCGTCTTATGTCTGCCCCTGGCAAGATCATTTGGGTCTGTTGTGGCCCTTTTTGCAGTTTTTGGACTCATGGACGGTGCTATGAATGGGCAATTCTCTTTGCTGATTTTGAAATGTGTTGGTAAACACAAGCTCAATCAAGCATGGGGCCACGTTATGTTTTTCCTTGGTTTAAGCGTTTGCATCGGACCTCCACTGGCGGGTAAGTTCCACTGAATCCTTTGGACCTTTTACGCCCAAACCATATATTTCTTACGAAGGTTTCTCGGCGGTTAGTCACGTACTGTCCTTCAGTTGCCGACTTTATCTATTTCGATTTAATGGGATTTCACTTTGATGACCGATCGAAGGTTTTTTGCTGCCGACTTTCCTCGAACTGGATCCTATTTATAGCAGCATTACCTTTTAGGCGACAATCATTCATATAACCCGTCACAGCTTTGTTTAACCAAATGTAATTAAGGTGGCCCTGCATCCCTAAGAAGTTTTACTTGAGAAATTTTCCGAACATTGAATCTCGCTGAACTTGCTTATCGTCATTCGATAAATACCAACATAAGGCGTCACCGAGCATGTGGTTAGGTTGTATGCCCTTGAAGCTTAAGTTGAAGTCATTCTTTGCAGGATACACTGCTGCTGTGGTTATCCATTACACCATCATTGATTCGACATTCTTTTTCATGATAAATAATGATAATGTCCCGTCGAAATAAATTGCTGGAAGGTGCTGGAGGCTGTTGCCAAACACATCAAATTATTCGGGCTTTTAGAAGTCAGTTGCAAAGTTTATATCAACTAGTAATGACCAAAGAGCGATAGCCGACACGACAGCTTTATTGGTGTACTATAACAATGAAACGGTAGCCATGCTGGTTTATCAAATCAATCCTGTGGGAGTTGAACTCTTTTCTTATGTAAACACCTTCCTTTGCTCCAATATATTTGTAAGGTTGTGTATTTTGTATATAGTTTGATGGAGTACTTATGATTGATCTACAAATATTATCAATCCAACTTTGTAAAGCAAATACTCACACAAGAGTTTATAACCAGAGATAATTATCA